AATGGCGGGGTTTTTTTTTGTTGTTGTTGTTGTTTTGGTCTGGTTTTGCTTGCTTGTTTTGTTTTTGAGATGAAGTCTCCCTATGTTACCATTGCTGGGAATACAGCTACATGCCATCATGAGTTTCAGGTGGGAGAGTTAAAGCCTACAGAGGTTTCCTAGGAGAGGGAGGGAGCCCCAGTCCAAGGCCTGCCCTGGCATTGTCCCCTCAGCTCTTCTAGCACTGCTGACTTTCAAAATCAGCAGCTAGGCCAGGCTCTGACTTATCTGGAGTAACTCTTTATAACTCAACAAAGGGCTGGGCCATGATACGTGCTTGTGTCTGTTTCTATCTTGAATCCTGGGGATAAAATGACTTGGTTTCCCTTCTTAGACCTCAAATACAGGCAGCGAGACTCCACCAGAGCTATCGTTGACACATAAATACAAGCATCTGCTGACCTCTGGTGGTCACTGTGTGATTCATCTGTGGTCCAGCAGCCAGGGCCCCAGTGCATATCTGAGACATTTTTGGCCTGTCACTTCATTTCTCAAAGCATTTCCCCTCACTTTTCTTATCTTGTGGCATTCTCTATAATCCTGAGCGATGAGGAAAGCCAGGATTCCCATTCCCATTGTACAAATGAGTGTCAGCATCTTGTGGTCCAGTCCCGTATCCACCTCCAAATCCTTACCTGACTTTGGTAAGGCCATTTCCCACTCCCAGCTTCAGTTACCCACATGTAAAATAGGAGAGGCTCTACACAATACAGGTCTTCCAGCCCCAAATTCTCAAAGTGGGAAAGGGGACTTGCTCAAAATCAGAGTGCATCAGGGTAGAGGCACTCCAAAGCTGCAGGTCACTCCACTTGCCTGCCCTGATCAGGAAAAGGCATAGATGTAACAGCAAACAAGAAAACCAATTCCTCCATCTTTGTGCTCTGGTTGTGTTGAAATGCCACATGGGTAAGTGGATAGATGAGTGGGATGGTGGATGGGTGGATAGATGGATGAATGGATGAATGAAGCAGAAATAAAGAACGTGGAGTTCACTCAAGCAGCAACTGGGGCAGAGCCACTTGCCTCCTCTGCTCCCTACGATTCCAGCTGCCTACCTCCCTTGGCAGGCTGTTCCAGATCTATCAAACTAGTGTTCTAGAGCCACCTCCCCCAGCTCAGAGCTGGGACCAGAAATAAAGGGAATGAGTCTTCGCCCGGATTTCCTTCCTGCTATTTTATTTACCACCATACTTAATAGCTATAACTATAGGAGGAGAGACAGGAGCCAGAGGCCATGAATAGGAAGCTCCAAACATGGGCATTTCTTCCAGAACAGTGCCTTCAATAAACTGTGGCTGAAATTAAGCTTTTTACTCACAATAAAGCTCAGCACAGCTGGAGGCAGTGGGCTGGTGTGGAAAGAGTACACCCCATATACCTATAATCTGCTATAGTCTGGTTCAAATCAAATGACTCAGAGCAAACTCCTTAACCTCCCTGTGTCTTTTTTTTAAAATTTGCTGTGGTACTGGATACCTAATCCAGGGCCTCACATGTTAGGCAAGCAATTTGTCACTAACCTACATCCCTAGCCCTTTTATTTTATTTTGGGACAGAGTCTCACTCAGTTGACAAAGTGACCTTGAAATTGCAATCCTCTTTCGTGCATAAGCCTCCTGAATAGCTGGGATTACAGGAGTACACCACTGCACCCAACTGTGCCTTGGTTTTCTCAGCTGCAAATGGGCATGATGCCTGGAAAGTGCTATAAGGAATTAATGAGGTAAAATATACAATGTTTTCCATATTATAGCTGTTCAGTAAATAGAAGTTTTCTTCCTTATATCCCAGATTATGGAGAAATTCTAGAGAGGGAAGCAACAAGTTCCAGTGTACACCTTGCAAATTTTTCAACTAAGCTTTTCCAACTGCTCCAAATTAGTGAAATGCATTGGGGGAGGGTGGAGGAGGAGGGAATGGAATGTATTTTCAGCAGAAAATAATGGTGTGCTCAAACATACTTAATCTCTTTAAAAGAAAGTACCATTCACCTATCCCTGCCATTATCACAGAGCTTCAGTCACAAAGGGTATTTAGTAATGATTTCTTGAGTGATGTTGAGAATATCTTTTCACAACTACCAGGAAGTAAATAGGACTGCTCTTTCCTTCCACTTCTTAGGTGAGCATCTCCCTTGTCTGCATCAAGTAAACCTGTCTTAACTTTCCTTAATAGCTTATGCGTCCCAGAATGGGTGGCTGAAGGCCACTTGGCATAAGAACAACTAGGTTTGAGTTCAGTTCTGCTGTTAAACAGCTGAACTCACAGGACTGATGATACTGAGACCCCATAATATCATCTGTGAAATCATAGAGTTAAGAGCAAGGATTTGATATGTGCTCTGGAGTCACAGGCCCTCTGCTTCCACCTGGAGTGATAAAGACAGGGAGTCTAAATGTGGTGGTTAGGAGATGGGCTTCAGTTTGAGACAGGCTTGGGGTTTGATTTTGTCACTGTCCAACTTTGGTCAAGATTCTTACTCTTTGAACCTCATTTTCTCACTCATAGATGGGGAAAATTCAATGAGATCATGTTTGAAAAGAGCTAAGCCTTGTGCATTACTGAGCACATGAGTGCTCAATAAATGTTAGTATGTTAATGGTTCTGACTACTGGAATGGGCTTCTCTGTAACATTTCATTGGTGTTCCATGTGTGTGTCCATGTGCATGTACATATTCACTGGACTAAATCTTTAAGTTCCTCCTCCTCATAATATTTTCCCCATCCAACACTCCATTCTTCCCTAATTTTTCTTCTTTTTAATCTCCTTCTTCCCTTCCAATAACTAAGTGGCTTCTCTTGAATTTCATTGCTTCTTTTTCCCAACCTAAATGCAATAGCCTCTGTTTTTTCAATAAAAAATGAGAAGATTAAGTCAATCAGAGGTAAGTCAGTGGCTTATAAAAGTAACCAACTCCTTCCTAGCTCCTTCTACCCACCCCAAAGGTCTACTCTGTCTTTTGGGTACCACGTGGGAACTCAAAGACCTTCACTCAGGCAAAGCCAGTTTCTCCAAGGGAGAAAGGTGTGTGGTGCCTGGGCAAAGCTCAGAAAAGCTGCATTAGGTTAAACATAGGACATAGAAAGTTCCTAGGGATAATTTGGGGATAAAAGGAACTGGGCCTGTTCTGCAGCCTCCTGAAGATTCCAGTATCCCCAACATCTTCCTCCTTTCTGGGTACTATGCCACAGAAAGAAAAAGATTTGTTGAAATAGAACAAATATACTAAATATAAGTAATATACCAAAAAGCTAGCTTATCTAAGAGAAGAGCCACATTTTTGTTATTGTTTTAGTTGATTTTTTGTGCCAATGTAGACATATTGCTTATATAACGTGAATATTTTGAATTAATTTATTTTAATCAATTGTGCTCAGAAAAAAATATGAATCTAGAAAATGATGTTTTGGGCTCCCACTGAAAAGAAGCAGGCTCCAGTGTTAAAGGAAGACCATAAAAGGGAGAAATAAAAACATCTGCCTCCCTACCCCTAACCCAGGCCCCTCTGGCCTCAGAGTTCACTGAGGTCCTCCAGTTTATGGGCAAGGCTGCCAAATGGCACCAGGCAGCAGCGCTGGAGAGAGTGGGGAGGAGGAATGTGGAGAACTTCCCAAGGATGACTTCCAAGAGCCACTGAGAGGACTAAGGTCCTCACCTAGCAGCTGTGGTGATGCAGAATGACCATTCTACGGGAGTTGGGACACCTGGTTTTAATTCTCTGCCACTAACTTGCCATATGACCTTGGGTAAATCAGGCTATTCTTTAGGCCTCAGTTTCCTCATCTGTAAAATGAGAAGACTCAGTTAACTTAAAAATAAGTACCAAGCCCTTCCTCTGTGCACTGTCCTGATGCTATAATAGAGAGAGAAATAAGATAGTCATCTGTTCAAAACACAGTGAATGACCACTCCATTTACTAGGCATTATGGTATCAGTACTGCTATCATCAAAACATTCACAACCTGATCAGGGAGACTGTGCAAACAAGTAATGGCCAACTAAACTGTGCAGAGATGAGAGTGGACACACCAAGGGCCAGGAAGAAGCAGCCTTTCTTTCTAGGGCCAGTGAGGAAAAGCATCAAAGAAGAAATAAGGCTTGAACTGAATCTTGGAAGGTCCTTGGTTCCCAGAGTGTACACTCAAGTCAGGGATTATCACAAACATCCAAACAGCTACTACACAAGACAGAAAGAAGCTGCTACAGGAACCAGATTGGAGACTATCAGGATGTAGTCATGATAGCAAGCAGAAAAGGGAGTGGGAACCTTCCCCAAGGCTAGAAGCTAACTGGGGCCATTCTGATGGTAGCCATTGGAAATGATGGGTCTAGGGCCAAGCACTTGACAGCCTCATGTCAGTTCTTGGAGGCAGGTTCCCTTTCTATAATCTGATTCTTTCAGATAAGGAAATAGGCCCATGGAGGTTACAAGGTCACATGAGTGATAAGTGGCAGAAATAGCACTCTCTGATGCCCCAATCTGAAGTTCTCACCACTGGAATGCCAGGCAGTGGCATTATTGAGTCATAGTCATAGTCATTCCCATCTAAGTTTCCATTTCCCAGAACACCTCGGTAGGATATATCACTTTAGAAATGTGGGTACTGGCGTTAGCTCAGTAATGGAATGCATACTTAACATGTGTAATTCCCTGGGTTCAATTCCCAGTGCAGGGAAAGAAGGAAGAAAAAGAAATAGGGGCACTGAAAAGTCAATCTTTGCCTGAATCATGGAGACTGGCTTGATTCAGCCTCTGAATCGGGACTGTCAGGATCTCTTTCACCAGAATAGAGAGTATGGGTAGGACAAAGAATATTAGAATTGCTGAGGGATTTTTTGGTGCTCTGCTGTCTGCTGGTCTCGGTTTATTGTTCAATGATGATGTAGGCTGGCTAGCTTCTAGTTCTTCCCTGGTCACGACTAGTGCCGTGACCCTGGGTCAGATCATTCTGCCATAACTAGGGTGGATGGCTTTTCTTGCAAGACTGGACCTTGTGCGTCCGGATTTTATCCAAGTACTGCTGGATGTTCATGGATTCCTGTCTCCAGCACCCCAGCTTTCTGAGTTGGTCTGTCAAAAACTTTTTTTTCAGATGGTCGTACAAATGGCTCATCTTTTTCTTGGTCTTGTCTGAAGCTCTTATCTTACAAAAAATAAAGGTGAGGTTAGGGATGAAGAAGCCACTTCACAGCAAGATAAGCATCTAGGGCTGCTGATTTGGGAGTGGAAAATGTCCCTGCTGGACCCAATATTCATTTCATAAATACCATAATTCATAGGGAGCCTTGGTTTCCTCATTTATAAAAAGTGAATAACCCCTATGTTACATTCTGACAGTGTGAAGCCAAGGAGTCTGATTTTGACTGTAATGCTGAAGACCAGTCAGTAAAAATGGGGGATTGGGGTTGTGGGATGGGTGTGTCTAGAAAGAGGGAGAAACACCTCTTTCTTACAACCACCATCACCCTGTCCCTGTTAATCATCTAGTGCTTCCCATATATTGTCTGTGAAATCCCTTATTATCCCATGAATTCTTATTGTTACTTCTAATATAACTTCTTCCCTGTTCTAACAACATTATAAGGTCTGGGAAGGCATATCTGTGTCTTACACATTCAGTTATTTATTCCAACAAGCTAGCTATGGGAAGGGATGCTAAGACAAATCCGCCACAGGTGTTTCCAATAACTAAAACATAGTCAGAAAGAGAGAGACACACACATAAATATTTCTAAACCAGGAAGAAAGTAATTACTCATAAAAGAAGCATTGAATTCAAAAGAGGGCAGATATCAAGAAAATCTGCATAGGGCTGTGGGTGTAGCTCAGGGGTAGAGTCTAGGCTTAGCATCCATGAGGCCCTGGATTTGATCCCCAACTCTGAAAAAAAAAATGCTGCATGGTGGGTGCTGAGGGGCCTGCCATTCCAGCATTGATAGTGGGGAGCTTTTGGGTGCAGAGAAACCTCTCCAGAGACAATTTCAGGGAACTTTATCTGCTTTATTGTACAGCAAAAATAGCTTTTGTAGTGGGGATGTGCCAATTTACCTATAATAGTCACAATAGGCCAGAGGTGATATGCAACATATCATATTACAGGAGTCCAGACACCAAGAGTTCAAAAACTGCCATATAACTCCTTTCAAAGGGAGCAAGGAAATTGTGCTTGCCAGTGTTCTGACAGCACTCTGTCCCAAAACATAGAATTCTATGTTAGCACTTTCTTGCTACACAATGAGCAAGATAAGCGTCCTCCATGTAGGTCCAGAGTCAGGCCCTGTAACAGAAGGGATATAAATTGGGGTTGGATTTTGAAGGATGGGGAGGTTTGAGACATGTAGAAACAATATGGTAAGAGCTGATCTAACAAGCTTCCCAAGGGATTCAGATAAGCACTAAAATTATTTGAAGATTTAGCACAATGCTAAGCAAAGGAGTTTTTAATAAATGCTAGTCAATGTTGACATGATTATTTGACACAGCAAATTAAAGGGAGGATAGTGACAAAAAGAATGGACACTAAATTATATAATTCAAATTGGTGGTCTCTATACCTGGCTGAATATAAGAAACACTTCAGTTGCTTGATAAAATTATAGACCTCAGAAATTCTAGTTTAGTAGGGTTTGGAGGGACCCAGGAATCTATTTTCTTATCATGTACCTGAGATAATTCTGATCCAGCCACTGAGAAGTAAATGGCTGCTTTTACCACTATTTTCTAGTATACTCCATGACATCTAGCATTTGGGCTGGGTCAGCTTGTGATTTCACTTTGAGCTTGGCTTACAAGAAATCAGAGTTCCTCAACATTGACACTATTGATGTTTGGGGTTGGTCAATTCTTTAACATGCACATTGTAGGAATTTTTATCAGCATCCTTGGCCTTTACCTACTAAACGATAGTAGCATCCACACCATTTCAATTTCTGATGACCAAAAATATCTCCAGACATTGTCAATGTCCCCTGTGGGGCAAAACCATCCTGCTTGAGCACATGGCTGTAGATGAATGATACCAGCCGTTACTCACTGTTCTCAGAGCATGCTCAAGGGATTCTTAAGACACTAGATCTTAGTTGTATTCACTGAAGTTGGTGTCCATCCAAAGCTATCTCTTTCCCCAGTGTGAATACTTTTGGTGGGGAGACAGGAATATTGCCACATTATCACTGAGGTGCCTGAATCCACTGAGTTCCTGTAAGCCAGCCTCTGGGCTAGTTTCCAGGTTTATAACATAAAGAAGACAGTCTCTTTCCTTAAGGAAGAATCTGCACAATGACCTGGATTGCAATTCTGCAATGACCATGTGACCCAAGTAAATTACTCCATGTCTCTAAGTCTCGATTTCCTGATTTATTAAGTGAATGTAATAATATATAATAGATATCAAGTCCCTATCATACATAGGGCTAAATACTAGTTTTAAAAGGAAGCTTCTGGGTGGCTGAAGGATGAACCAGCCCTCTAGACAATGCAGAAGTTTCCAGGTACAGTATTTCAGAGTTTTTTGCCCCACTGGCAAGGTACAACATTCTCTCCAAAGTGAATATAGAGGTTAGTCCTGAGTCAGCCAGAACACAACACACCACCTCGTCACCATGATTGGAGCAGGAATGGGCCCAAGTCCCAACTGCGGCCAACTGGGGGTTTTCTCCAGGACTTGACTAACTTGATCAACAGCAAAAGCACTGTGTTCCTTTTGTGGTCTACATGCCAGGGTGGCTTGTCCTCCAAGGAAAATTAGCCTGATTATGATAATATTCAGAAAGCAGCAAGAGAAGAAGAGGAGGAGTGGAAGACACACCAAAGGTATTGGAACCCCTGGCTTCCCTCATCCCAAACACTGGTGAAGCTGACCTATCCATCCTTGATTATGCAAACCCAGATTCCTCTATTTTGCTTGAACTAATTCAAGTTGTTTATATAACCTGCAACTGAAAGGGTCTTAATAGATCCTATATAGGTCTTAATAGATCCTATAAGAAAAGAGAGGCTGGGAAGAACAAATCACTGAATGTTACCCAAAGCTGGCCTGCCATTCTCCAAGCCCAAGTCCACCTTATTTCTACTACATTACTCCACTGCAAGTTTAGTAAATACCCAGGCCCTGATCTGCTTTGGGGTTTTTGGTTGTTGTTTCATAACGCTGGGGATAGAACCCAGGGCATCATTGTACATGCTAAGCAAGTGCTCTGCCACTCAGCTACATGCCCCCCCAAGTCTTTGTTTTTGGTTTATATGGCCCTCAAGAGGATCTGGTACTCTCTCTTAAGGCTCTCCATTCTTTTCTTTTTTGGCAGTACTAAGGATCAAACCCAGGACCTCATGCATGCTTGTCAAGGGCTTTACCACTGAGCTACATCCACAGACCTTCTCCACTCTTTTCTATGTGAGAATCCCATAGGCCCATCCAGATTTGACCTAGGAACATGGAGGAAAGCTCAACAATCAAGAAGGGGACAAAAGCTCAACTCTGGAATAAATGCTCTACTTGAAGAAATGAATCTTATTCAATTATCTCTTCCTACTGCCTAACAATGCCTGTCCCAAGCAGTTCCTAAAGACATGTTTAATGAATGAATCAATCAGGGTCCAGGGGGAGCACTGGAGTGCCAACACTTGGGCTTCCAAGTATATAGGTCAAACCCTACTTATTCATAATCAAAAAGAGCCTCAGTTTTAATCTGGAAAATGGGGTTAACACCCAGAGTAAAAAAAATGACCAGATAAATGTTGATGTTGATTCAAGCTCTAGAACCTAAGACTTTGAATGGGAATAGTAGGAATGTATTCATGAATTCCCTAGAGAGATAATATACTTTGAGAAAAAAATACAAGAGGCAAAAAACCATGGAGTCTTTCTCTCTGGCTCCTTTAGTTCAGGAACAGGTATGATACCATGAACAAGTCAGTAACCCCAATTATCAACTGCCTCCTCTGTAAAAATGGGGTCTCCCCTAGAACATCTTGATGACTCCCTATCACCTCAAGGATCTACTGCCTCCAGGATACGGGGAATATAAAATGAATATGAGTTAAATCCTTAACACACTCTAATGCAAAAACTGTGACTACTTTACCTCTGTCTCATAGATTCGTTGTGCACTGAGGTTGTCACGAATAATCACCCGAGATAAGTGGCTCTTGGGTAAAAATTTGCTCAATGCTGCTTCACTGGAATCCATTATACTGGAATGGGGAGGGGAAAGTAGTACCAGTTAGAGATGGCTGAGACCAAAGCCAGGGTTAGGGCCTGATTTCATTGGCTCCTGGGGGAGTGGCTGAAGTTTCTTAGGACATGCACAGCTTTCTCATAATTTTTAGAGGACCAAGGGAATAACCATGTTTCTCTCCTTGTGGACAAGGTGTGTGCTAAAGAACTGTGACTTGGATACCTGAGAAGGATGTTGAAGAGCCAAGAGCAGTCCAAAGAGAAGTGTAAACGGAATCAGAGACAATGCTCAACCCTCAGTAACTGTTTTTTGTTTGTTTGGCTTTTATTGGCGGGGAGGGCAATGCTGAGGATGGAACCTAGGCTCCTGCACATACTAGGCAAACACTTTTTTACTGAGCTATACCCCTAGCCCTAGAAGCAGTTACCTTAATGAAAAAAAGAAGGTGAAACGGAACAATCTTAGAGAAGAGTCAAAGTTGGAGAACCAGGTCAAAGGGTTGAATTTGAGAGAGGATATGGTGGGTTGGAGCAGAACTTCACAGCATAAATCTAAGGAGAATCTAAGAAGTGGGGAGTAAATCAGAACAGGGGAAAAATAAAGAGTCTGTACAAAGATTGGGCTGGTTAATAGGGAAATTCTAAGGGAAAAGGGTTTGGGAAAAATTTACAAACATGAGGGAAGTTTGGAGTGCACAGGGCTTTAGAAGACTCTGGAAAGTGAGAAGTAGAAATGGGATGAGGTGGGGAAGGTGGAATAGGATGGAGCCAGGTACTCCAAGTAAAAAATTTGAACAAAATTAGGAATTGATTAAAAAAAAAAGACCAGGTATTGCCAGCCACTGAGTTTTCAATATTGATAATTTGGTTACACCATGAAGTGGTTTAACAAATATATACCTTTAAATGTTTTGGCTTACTTAAAAATAAATGCTCGTATTTGCTAAAATTTGGAAACTAAATGTAGAACAATGAGAAAAGAAAAACGAATAACTTTAGCAAGCCAGACAATAAAATATATGTGACTATGTATAAAACATAAACATTGGGGCTGGGGTTGTAGCTCAGAGGTAGAGCACCTGCCTAGCATGTGTGAGGCACTGGGTTTGATTCTCAGCACCATATATAAATAAATAAAATAAAGGTCCATAAAAAAAAGATAGTTAAGAAAAATAAACATTAGATGGGGAAAAATCAGGTAACTAAACAATGAACTCTTTGTGATGGATTTTTCAAAAAGTTTAACACACGTGTATGAATGGACCTGGAATGATATATGTCAAGATGCTACAGTGATTGTCTCAGGTCATTCATTTTGCTGGTCTTTCTTTTCTGATTTTTCTATAAGTGTATATTACTTTCCTAACTGCGATTTTAAAAGGCAATTTCCTAAAGGGTAAAACATTTTGAAGGGTTAGATTTTATTTTCTAATTCATCTTCAGCCAATTTGGAACAATGGTCTTGTGAATATTTTTATATTTACAAACAAATATTAATAAACAAATATCTCCAATCTCTCATTTTCATTTCTCTGACTTCTATGCAGGGCAACACAGCATTAGACATGAGTTAATGGAAAAAACTAGTTCAGAGGTCAAGGTGCTTACAGCAAGTCCCCTAAATCTTGTTTTAAAAAAACAACACTAAAATTCTAAAAATATTTAAAGATACATATTTGTGTGTGTGTGGTGGTCCTGGGATTGAACCCAGGGTTGTGCTACCACTGCACTACATAACTAGCCCTTATCATTTTGTGGGAAGTTCTCCCTAAATTGCAGAGGCTGATACATGTGTGTTACCAAGCCTGGTCATAAAACATTCTTCATCCTCTTAGCAATGCACCAAATTTATCAATACAAGAAAAGATTTTTTTTTTAAAAAAAACAATGATTGGAAATATTCCCTTTCAAGTAATAAATAATGGTCATTTTGAACCAAATTGCCTTCCACCGCCAGTCCTCTACAGGAGCCTGCAAGATGCAGCGACAGGAATTCAGAAATGAAAAAGGGTGCGGGAAATTGGGGCTCCTAATGATAGGGAACAGGTAGACAACTGGGGTTTTTTCCAGTATCACTGAGAAACGTGGAGGCTAAGAAGACGGGTGTTGGAAAGTTTCAAGCCTGAGGTGGACCCTGGTCTCACCAGGCTCAGGCAGGTTCAGGCTCGAAGTGAAGGCTGGAGAACTGACAGGCGGGCTGATTTGGAGGAAATGTTGGGAGCTAGGACTCCGGGTTACTCGCGGGAGTCAGAGCTGAAGGCGTTCAGACGGGCCCCTAGGTGTCAGAGCTGGACTGGAAAGAAGTTGGGGTCAGGGTCTTTGAGAAATCCAGGTTCCCCTAGGGTGCGAGAAAGGGGAACACGGGCCTCTGGAGATAAGCGTTGAGAGGCGCAGGTTCTGGGTCCGGTCTAAGAGAGTTCGGGGGAACCAAGGCTGCACCTGAAGAACACCGATGGCTGTGAGGTTTGTGGCCGAAGGAAGTAGACCTTCGGCTGGACCCCGTGGCCGGTTTCTTGGCGGTCGCCGCGCTGGTCGCGCCGTAAATCCAAGTTCCCAGTGGCGCCGGAACTGGCGGTCGCTTTGGAGGAAGACTTGTAATCCTTGTACAAATCCAGATCCCAAGTAACCGAGGGCCTACTCGGCCCTGCGGTCTCGTCCTCGACACTGGAGGGGAACGACGCCGGAATGGAAACCATGATTGCTACGCTTGCGCAGATACTGAGTGAGACCCACGGCAGACACGGCCAGCAGAGGTTTGTGCGTTGCCTGGGAAACACGCGATGGGGCGGGGCCTGGGGGCGGGGCGAACCGGGAGGCTGAGGACGCGGCAGAATTGTCCTTCGGCGGCCGCCATAGTGCGATTTAGCGCGTTGCTATAGAGACGAATTGGGCTGGCCAGAATAAGCCGGCGAGGGTGAGGTCGACTGTGACCACGGAGTGATCGCGGAGGTGGTAATAGGTTAAATCCTGGAGGGGCTGCTCCGAGCGCAGAACGGAAACCGAGATTTCTCCCGAGACCTGGGCAGCGGACGTCTCCCCCCGAGGAGAAACCATTATTATGGCAATCAGATTGCTGGGCCGGCGGGGATTGCGGTCTGTGCTTCCGAGCAAGTCTCTCTCTTTGAGAACCTTGGCTGGGGATAATCGGTGCCACTTCTTCATGAACGAACCCCCTTGTACTCCTACTGGAGAGAGGTAAGACTGGTGGGATCTTGACGTCGAGTTAAAAAGAAGCCTATTCCAATGTTAATTCCCAGGTAACCTACCTAATTCACCCCTGGAAGTAGAGCCTCGAACCTATCAACCCGTGGATTTTGTTCTGCTATATAAGCCAGAATTTAACCAACGCTTCTCGGTGTTTGCCGACTTTTTTTCCACCTGTAATGAGCCGGACGACCAGCTCTTGGGCCTTGGGCGGCCCCGAACAAGGCCTCCCTTCTGTGCCTCTCTTTCCACCTGTGACAAATGGAAGTATTAACTCTAGACACCAGTTTGATTAGGTAGCTGTGAAGGTCGAACTAGACGAGGGAAGCCCAAGGCTTCTTCATAGGTTGTAAAATGGTGAACCTCAACTGCTGTCGAGTTGCTATTTCTTTCTCTCCCTCTTCTTCATGCTGAACAAGTCTCGGGTCATTTTTTTTTTTTTTTCCCTCATGGGAACTTTGCGACTCCTGAGCTCCAGTCTGGAATTAAACTCTTTATTCTCTTCCCAAAGGGTGCTGAGACACACGAGGTGAAGGCTGGAGAACTGATGGGCAGGTTGATTTGGAGGAAACGCCTCGCTTTTTAACTCCACTAACAACTGCAAGAAGAAATAGTTATCATTTTTAAAGTGCTCATTCGGTGCCAGGCTCTATATTCAACACTGGATTATCTCCTTTAAATTTTCACAAAATTCTTATTTTATTTTTTATGGTAGTGGGGATTGAACCCAGAGGCCTTCTACCCCTAAGCCACACCCCCAGCCCTTTTATTTTGAGACAGGATCTAGCTAAATTGCTGAGACTGGCCTTGAATTTGCAGTCCTCCTGCCTCACCCTCTCCAGTTGCTGAGATTATGGACCTGTGCCACCACACCCAGATCACAACATCCTTTTAAGATAGGCACTGTTACTCCTATTGTCAAAGGGCAAAATTACAATTATTTATTTACTTTTTGTGCCAGGGATTGAACCCTGGGGTTCTTAAACATTACCCAGCCCTTTTTTATATATTTTATTTCGAGACAGGGTCTTGCTGAGGCTAGCTTTGAACTGATCCTCCTGCCTCACCCTCAAGACAAAAGTGTAGAAAAACTGATTGATTAACATCAAATTACTTTAGGTTTCCTTTTATTATGAAAGTATTAAGACCCAGGGAACTATTTTGCCAGTTGAGAGTGGCCTGTTTGAGAACATTGGCAATTACCTCTCTGATCCTCATTTCTCCAAGGTCAGATGAACAACTTAGTTTCAGTTTGGTGAAGTGGAACTTTAGTGTGAGTCACTCCATTTTGATTTTTAGTCTGATCTGTTGAGCCCCAGGGTAGGATCTTAGTCTTTTTTAAAAAGTAGTGTCTTTTCATACTTTTTGTCACTCAATCAACAGTCTCCTCTGTTCTACCCTCTAGGCACTGGTTGGGGGCTCCTCAGTTAATTTTGGAGGGGGGGTCTGATGGTGAGAGTCCAGAATATCTCCTAGCATTTAGCCTTCCACCTGGGTTTTAGACCTCATCCCAAGTCCCTTAAATGACCTTTACAACAAACCAGCCCTATCTGCCCTTCTTGGGGTGAGCCTAATGAATTTGACCCTGGGGCATTGGCAGGTTGAATTTCCCTCTGCATCCTTTAGCATTCTTTCCAGAAGCCTAGGAACCCTGAGTGATTCTGCTGTGATATTCAGAGGACCACCTTAGAGAGTCCCATAGACCCATCTGAGAAACTGATGTGACTCCATTTTTGAGAAACCAGCTTTTACCTCAAGGCCTGTCCCGAGGGAGGGGGTGTGACCCTTGTCCTTGGAAAAACCCACAGAGCACTCCTAGGCTCATACCCACCCTGCTGAGTTGTTTAACAGGAGAGATATGCGGTGCCAGGTGTCCCTGACTCTGTTATGCTAGGTGAGGACCCATAGCACCCCCCTAGCAACCATCAATCAGCATGAGACAGGGAAAATATCTGAAATGCCAGGTGACCCTCCCAGTAGTTTTGGTGATTGATAACATGATTAGGCAACCCTGCAGTTTATCGAGTACACCTCTCATGGCTTAAACCAATCAGCTCAAATGTATCCACCTCTTGAACTCACCAATCACCCTTACCCAACTTGTTCCTGCCAGTGAATGTGCTAATCAATGTTAAGAGATGTTGTTTGATTTTCCCCGCCGAATGAAATGATTTGCTGTGTGATGTTGTGAGTATTCCCAAAAAATCTATAAACCCTCATTGAACTAAGGGCCAGGACTCGCTCCTCGGGACAGCTGCTTCGGAAAAGGTTATGAGTCCAGGCTCCAGCTTGCAATAAAGACTCTTGTGTGATTGCATCGGATTCGACTCCTGGAGTTCTATTGGGGGTCCCACGAATCTGGCATTACACATCCATCCATCCATTTCCCAAAAGTCTCCTGGGGTCATGGTATTGGAATGGTTTCCTAATTCAACCAGTATTTATCAAGCACTTACAGGAAGTCTGGCACTGGTTCATGATACAATGGACATTAAGATAATTGTTCTCCTAAAGGGCTCATGGTGTCTTAAGAAGAAGACTTTTATCAAATTGTCAGATAGCTCAAGGCAAAACCACATCTTCAGTGGTTTTGGAAGTGTTAGGAAGGAGAAAACATCAGGTTACTAAGGCCTGGAGCAGGAATTTAATCAAGCATTGGAGAGGGAAGAGAGTGTTTCCAGGAGGTTTCCTTTAAAGAAGAGACTCTTGGCCTAAGATCTCAAGGCTCCTTAGATTTCCACTGTCCTGCTGAATGGAATAATTCAGGATCTGATAGGTTTATAAGGAAGCGGGATTCCAGGTTGAGAGAGCAGGAGAGACAAAGGCCTTTGGCTAGAGAAGACATGTCATGAGAAACTGTCAGTGGCTCAATCTAACTGAGGACTTGGGCAAGGCTAATGGGAGGGTAGAGAAAAGGAAGCAGCCAGGCCACAAATGACCTTGACAGTCAAGCTGAGGGGCTCTATCTTATCCTAATTTTGGGCAGCAGGGGGAAAAAATGTTTGGTTTCTCATTAGTCTGCCTGGCGAAGACTGCCCTTTGGACTGGAGAGGTGTGATCTAAATCCAAATGTCCCTTTTTCAGTAAGACATAAGATGTCGGATTTTTGAAGCTTAGTTCAAGAGTTAGAAAGTGAGGGATCCAAGATGAGGAGAAGACAGGAGTCTGCCCCTCCCAGGGGTTCACGCCACAGCCCTGCTGCAGACATGGTGGTGCTGGTATGGCAAGTCTTTGTGAGGCTCTGCTGCTTCTCTGCTCTTGCTCCTGGGGTTGCTTTGGTGCCCATTATGCTAGCCTCTGGGAAGCTCCCAGACATTCCTTTCCCTAGGCTCTCTTTAGAGGCAAGGCACAGGAGAATGTTTAGCAATGTAGGATTTTGTTATTTGACATCAGTTCCACATGAGTGCATTCCATCTCTTCAAAGAGATGGTTCTTGTGAGGAGAGCAGGAACCTTCCTGGTCTTATTCTTCTCCCCTCCCAGTGACTCTCAGTGAGCTCTGGTTTCAAGTCACTGGTTCAGAGTCTCATGCTTTAGCATATAATCAGAAGCCTAAGGAGGAAGATATTGCAAATGATTCCCACTTAGCGGGACTTGAAGGAAGGAGAGAATTTTGAAGAGGGGAAGAAGAGGACTTTGTGAGCCTAGATGGAGAATTAGGCCAGGGCACAGCTGAGGAATTCAAGTTGACCTACCCAAATAGAGATGAGGGACCCCTCAAGGCAAGCCACTACTGCCAGGCTCAGGGACTTGCCTTTTGTTCTGTAGGACAGTATGCATTAGATCACCTAAGAAGCAAGCTGAAATGCAAATTTATGCCCCTTACCTGAGAGTCTAATTTGGTGTATTTGGGGAGGGGCCAAAATCTGGGTATGTGTATTATTAGTGAGTTCCCTGAGTGATTCTCCTGTGATGGTCAGAGGACTGCCTTAGGGAATCCCATGAACCCATCTGTCCATTTCCCAGAAGTCTCCTGGGTTGGCCTGCTGGGCACCTACACTCTAAACATTCTCTCCCTCTCTTCAGTTTTCCAGGGACACAGCTTAGAAAAATGCAGGCCTCATGTGTCACCAACTGCTGACCCACCGCCTTGATGACAGCACCCCTGTGCACCTTCCCAGTTCAGTTCCGGCAGCCCTCAATCAGCGGCCTCTCACAGATCACCAGAAGCCTGTACATCAGCAATGGTGTAGCTGCCAACAACAAGCTCTTGCTGTCCAGCAACCAGATCACTTCAGTCATCAATGTCTCAGTAGAGGTGGTAAATACCATCTATGAGGATATCCAGTATACACAGGTGCCTGTGGCTGACGCACCCATCTCCAAGCTCTATGACTTCTTTGACCCCATTGCCGACCACATCCACAATGTGGAAATGAAGCAGGGCCGTACACTGCTACACTGTGCTGCTGGCGTGAGCCGCTCAGCCACTTTGTGCCTTGCCTACCTCATGAAGTACCATGCCATGTCCCTGCTAGATGCCCACACATGGACCAAGTCATGCCGGCCCATCATCCGACCCAATGCTGGCTTTTGGGAGCAACTCATCCATTATGAGTTCCAGCTGTTTGGCAAGAATACTATACACATGGTCAGCTCCCCAGTGGGAATGATCCCTGACATCTATGAGAAGGATGTCCATTTAATGATTCCACTGTAAATCATCTCCTAGGCCCCTGCTTTGGGTCCAAGTACAGACCTATTGTTGATCCTATATCAGGATCTGAACTTGAAGGATCTTTGTTGATACAGGAATGTACTAGATGATACCTTTTATAAGGGAAAAAAAAAGAAAGTGATACCACAGCTTTCAACTTTGTAACCTATATCTTTAAAGATTAAACTTGATTGTTAGAGGTGAAGATAAATTTTCTACCCTATGAGTGGCAGGCCATGGCTGCTGGCCAGAGGGTGAAATAAGGCAGGTGGTACACTGGAGAGAGACCAGAGCACGAGTGCCTGGAATCCTGCTGCCCTTCGCTAGACTGAACAACTCATAAATGAGACTGCCACAATCCTACTTTGTTCCTTCCAACCCAAAACCAGAGCCTTAAGCATCATGGCACCCCCTGAACTTTTTACAGTAAGTGCCAACCTACTGGATAAGTGGCCTTCAAATAGTGCTCTAGGAACCCTACAGGCCCCAAACAACCTACATCCATCAGTGGCCCTACTCTAGTTTTCTAAGATCAAATTTACACAGAAGATAGTTTTCAAATAAACATTCCAATATTATAAAATTTTTTAAAAATTTTTTTCTTGAGTGCTGTTGTATGTGACAGCACTTAAGTATCAATCTTAAGGGTGCATAGTCCCTTCTCTAGGACATGTCAGGTCTCCAGAGTTTTCTAGCTTGAAAGGCTGTATCTGCAAACCTGAACTTAGCCCTGACACCTACCCTCAATGTGACCTAGGGCCTCTTAGAGCCTCAGTGTCCTCATCTGTGAAGATTCAGCAATTCTATAGCGCCAGGCCAGTCATGGTCCATGCTTGGCATAATGGACATCTCTCACTATGGATGATATACTCACTCTTTGGACCTGTTGGTCCCAAGTCAAGGTATTTCCTCTCATATGTGCATAGTCCTGTATTGTTTTCAAAGTGCTTTTCTAGAAAGTCACTCCATATAGGGGAGAAAAAGGGGTTTAGATCCTACCTCAGAAGAGGCATAGTCTTATAAGCCTTTTCAAAGTTTTCATCTGTTTAAACTAGGTGTGACCTAGGGGTCCTGAAGCAAGGGGTACAATTCTGGCTTCCCCAGAAGGCTTTGTTTAGAATTGCTATGAATTGTGAGAATGACTAGCCATGCTTGTCTCTTTAGTTAGATGAACAAAACCTCCAGTGTATGCTTGTACTAGATAAATTAGAACAAAACCAATTAATTTAAATATCAGCAGATCTTAAAAACTACATAATGCGCCCACAACTGATTTATGGCTAGACTGCTTAACCAAAAAGAAACATTCTGAAACCCAAATATCAAATGATTGACATGGGATTTGATTTTAAAAAAGCTTGCGTGGGAACCTACATATTTCTTCCCAGGAAAATCCTATATATAATCAGAGAGCTCAATCCTGAATACATCACTAGTCTTTTTCTTCTCTGAGAGGTGAAGGGTGTCTGCACCTTGCCTTTCAGGGATGTACACCTTTGTTGTTCCCCCACCCTTTTTTTTAAACTAGGATTGAACCCTGGGGTACTTAACCACTGAGCCACATCCCCAGCCCCCTTTGGTTGGTTTGTTTATTTTGAGACAGGGTCTTGCTAAGTTGCTTAGTTGCTGAAGCTGGTTTTGAACTTGAGATCTTCCTGCCTCAGACTTGTGAACTATAAGGATTATAGCACCTTTGTAATCACTTTTTAAAATCTTGTGCCTTTCTTTGGATGCATCCTGAAATTCTTTTCAGTGGCCTAAATCAGGTTCCTTACTGAGGCCAAGTTGAGGTCCTACTGCCCACTTGGAGGTATTTTGAAATCTCGGTCCTTGTCCCCAATGCCAATCCCATAATGAGGACACAGTTTTGAGAAAAGGAAAAAGAAGTTTTATGGCTTTGCCAGCAAGAGAAACACAGGGGACTCAAGTCCAGAGCTGTGATTGTTCATCATGGGGAAGTAGGTTTTTAAAGGGGTGATTCAAAGGCTACATTCCAGTGTTCTCTATCTAGAGTGGTAATTCACTTGCTAATTTGGGAGGTTGTCATTTCTTAGATCTTTTGGTGCCATCCCTAAATCTGAATTACTTCATTCCTGTGGTATGTGCTAAAGGACAGATAACTCCTAGGATGGGGGAAGAAAGGTAATCCTGTTTCCCCTGAGATTATTGAGGAGAAGATATAGAGGAAGAGAAAGAAACATGTCCATTTTAAAAATAAGTCACAGTGGCAAAAACGAAAAAAAAAAAAAAAAAGCATGAAGTGAATCACTGTCACAGAGGGACCTTCTCAGACCCCTGTCCTCTGACAAAGGGAAGCCTCATTATTAGAAGTCTCCAGCAAGCTGGGCATAGTGGCGGACATCTGTAATCCCAGTGGCTGGGGGGGCTGAGGCAGGAGGATTGCAAGTTCAAAGCCAACCTCAGTAAAGCAAGGCAATAAGCAACTAACTCAGTGAGACTTTGCCTCTAAATAAAATACAAAATAGGGCTGGGGATGTGGCTCAGTGGTCAAGTACCCTGAGTTCAATCTCCAGTATGCTCTCCTTCCCCGCCAAAAAAAAAAAAAAGAAAAGAAAGAAGGCTCCAGTATATAATAGACATAGGGAACAGGGGTGGGGCAATGGAATGGGCTTAGCAATACCAGAGCATTCAGGGCTTCAAGTACCAAGCTGGGGATTCTATAACTTGTCCTGTCTGTAGGACAGAAAGCAGTTTTCACAGAGCAAACATTTGCTAAGTGCTTGCTGTGGATCAGATTGTGCAGTACTTTGTCAGGGGGCATACAGTAGTGTGGTTGACAAGTTCCTACCCGAAGCAGCTTCCAGACTAATTCCCTGTGGCCCCTGAAGGGAAAGTGAGGAACGAGAGACTGGTAAGCAAGAAATGAGAGACGGAGACTAGGCAGAGAGAGTTTACTTGTCAGAGCTGACAAATAAAGGCCATCTCTCTATAGGAAAGAGAGGCAAAACGGGCTTGGGTTCTGAGATTTTTATAGGGCAGGTTCAGGAATCAGCCAGGCTGGTCCTAATGCAATGGTTAAGAGTTGGGTTGGTAAGAGGGAGTGGTGAGGCTTTCTCAGAAAGAACCCTTGGCAGGAAAGTGAAACTCTTTACCTAAAATAGGGCTGTCACTTAATATGGCCATCCAGATACTAAGCAAGGACCTTATAGCCCCAAGTTATGTCCTTACATCCTCAGTCACTCACAAACTTGCCAACCTCAGATGGCTGCAGTGATCCCATCCTCCTGGTGTTCATGCCTTTGCGTGAGTCAACTGTGGGCAGCCTGTATTAAACAGGTTTGACCTGTGCAATAAGATATTAGGGAATCTAATGAGGACAAAGTGTGACCATTGTGATTGGATTAAAAAGGACACTGTAGCTCCTTGCTCTCTTGAATCACTCTGGTGGAAGATAGCTACCATACCAAGAGCCATAGAGAGAGGCCCACAAGGCAAGGAACTGAGGCCCCCAGTTAACAGCCATGTGAATGACCCATCTTGAAAGCAGAACCTCAGCCTTTGTCAAACCTTTGGAAGACTGCAACTTTGGCCAACATTTTGACTGTAACTTCACGAAATACTCTGAGCCAAAATCCACCTCACTAAGCCACTCCCAAATTCCTGACCTGCTGAAACTGGGAGATAATACATATTTTGTTGCCTTAAGCCATTATTCTTGGGAATAATTTTGATTTTAAAATCTTAATTGGTTGTTTGATTCTAGAAAAGTCTACCCTTCGTTCAATGTTCAGGAGGCTGAAGCAGGATACAAGTTCGAGCTCAGCCAGGGCAACTTGGTGAGACTCTGTCTCAAAAAATGAAAAAAAAAAAAAAAGGGAGTTGGGTATGTAGCTCAGTGGTAGGATATCCTCAGTATTCAGCAAAACAAACAATCAAAAAGTAAAATAAGTATTCTTATGGATGGAGCAGAAAGTCTTATGAACAGAGAAAGACTAAATAAAGCAGAAACAAAGAACAAAAAGCTGATTGGTAGCTGGGCACGGTGGTGCACACCTGTAATCCCAGCAGCTCGGGAGACTGAGGCAGGAGGATGGCGAGTTCAAAGCCAGCCTCGACAATTTACTGAGGCTCTAAGCAACTCAGTGAGACCCTGTCTCCAAATAAAATACAAAAAAAAGGGCTGGGATGAGGCTCAGTGTTTGAGTGCCCCTGAGTTCAATCCATGGTACCAAAAAAGAAAATAGCTGATTAATCATGTCAAAGTCACTTTCTTTATAAGATGCTGGCAGGGAGAACAGAACACTAGAAGAATAACTGGTTAATATCAGATTACTTTAGGTTACTTTCTGTAGAATTAAAAGATTAAAGCTCAGAAACTTCATTGTCATGCCAGTTGAAACCAGCCTGTTGGGGAATTTTGGTTGTTTTTCCTTGTCTCCTGATTTCTGATTAAGGTCAGATAACAACCAGTTTCAGTTTAGTGATGCAGAACTTGAGCATAGGTGACTCCATTTTAATGTTTAGACTGGTGTATTAGGCCCTACTGCAGAATCTTAGTCCAAAATAATGGCCTCCTTTAATGTTTTAAAAAATTATTATCCTAAATCAATACAACTGTCCCCAGTGCTGTCTCTGTTATCATCCGCTCACCCAGACCACCACAACAGGTCTTCCCTAGTCTCCCTGACCCTTGGCTCAAGCTCCTAATTTTTCCTCCACATAGGGTCCAGAAGAAATTGAAGATTCTTTTTTTTTTTTTTTCAAGAAATATATACTGAGGACCATGGCTCTTTTCTATTTAAAACCTTCCATGGCTCCCTGTGAAGTGGCCCTCAGTTAACTATTTTGTATTATTTCCAGAAAGCATTTGCAACTGAGCAGAAACAGTGAGATGGTAGAATTTCTGGCATCCCTCGGATTATTTGGGGGGCAAATAAGGGAGTAAGAAGAGTCCTCATTTGCCCTAGCCTCCTAGAATGACAATCCAAGGGCCACCAGGGGAGGGCAGGAAGGGCACCCTGGCAGCTGGGACTGAGACAAGGCTTTGTTCCCAAGTTCACGATGGCAGGATGCCCAGAAAGGCCTCAGCTTCCCTGGCTTCCTCCAAGGCGGGGCCAGGGGGGGAGGCTGGGACATCCACACCACTCTGCCCAGGCAGGAGCATGCTCTTGGGGCTCTCAATATGCAATGGAAGGCAAAGAGGTAGGAGAGATGGCCCAAGGAGCTTTTTGGAGGAACTGGTAAGCATCTGCCTTGAGTGAGTTTAATTGAGGACCTATTATGTTTTTAGGCATTATTGCTAAGCCCTTTCTGAAGCTGATTGGGGTTAGGTTTTACTGCTATTGCCGCTTCACACAGAGGCACAAGAAGGGAAGGTGCTTGCCTGTCACATAGTTCCACATTCCCAGCTCCAGGATTTGAACCCAAGTCTGACTACAGAACTCCTTTACTAGTACAGTAGCCCCCATCTCTTATCTACAATTTCACTTTCTATTATTTCTGTTATTCACTGTAAAGAGAGCAGTCTGAAAATATTAAATGGAAAATTCCAGAAATAAACAGTTTGTAAGTTTTAAATTGTATTCTGTTCTGAGT